TGAGACTTCCGCTTCCGTTTCCGCTTCCGCTTCCTCCCTGAAGGCAGGCGCAGGACTGAGCGGCTCCGCAGGACAGTCTTGCCACGAGTTGTGGAAGTAGCAGCCATGAACGAATCAACATCTCCGTGATTGCAACAAGAGACACAGTCTAGCTGATGTAAGAAACGTTTTGAGGGACGTTGACGCAGAAGTATACGTAGTCTTAGAAGCTGCTTCTTTCTTTACATTTTGGATGCGTGTATACAGCAAAGTGAAATGCGACACGAATTCCCGCCATCCCTGGCGTCATGACTATGAGTTACTCTACTCCACTCAACTACTCCCATCGACCGCCTTCACCAGATCTCCGAACATCGCACTAAAGGTGTGATAATAGTCGTCCGCACTATCCGTCAAGAACACCCAATCCGCCGTATTTTCGACCTGCTGCACCATAAACTCTAGCACCTCCCCAGTTAGATTCGGCAAAGAATGCAGTATGACAGCCAGCTTCGAACGCCGGATCTTATGTGCTTGCAATGGCACCATGATGTCTCTATCCAGCCACTTATCGAACGTCTCTTCGAATACGACGGTGAGATCCGTGAGGTTGAGGTAGGATTCTTGGAGCACCGTGGGCGAGGTGAGGATGGACGTGGGTATCAGACCGGGGTTGTGAGCTATGAAGCGATCGCTGAATGCTGTGTTGTTCTTGATCGCTTGATTTGCTGTCTTCAAGTATTCGTAATCGTCTTCATCGAAAGTACTTGGCGTCTCGTCCAAGAAGATTCCATCAACGCGCATCTTGGAAATGTTTGTCACTTTGGGCCAACGCGCGTAGGTGTCGATTTCTGCCAATAAGCTTTCGATAGGCTTGTCTGCGTAGTCTGTTGCAACATATCCTAATGTGCGAATGTTTGGGTAGGCTCGGAGTTTTGGGACTTCGTCTAGGTACACTTGATCGGGGAGTGATCCCATGCAAGGGCCGGAGCAGGGGTTGATGATGACGTTAAAGTCCACATTCTTGTGCGCTTTTGCTCTAGGGGTTTGTTAGTATGTAACGACGCTCGAGATGGATGTGCCTACGCTGTGTACAGCGGTTCCCAGGCGCCCGCGCTTGGGTACACGTAAAGCGGCAGAAGTATGGACATATCGAAGCGGTATCTTGAGCGACGGCAATGGGGGATCAGAAAACTGAAATTGCAAGGCCTTCCGGAATTGAGACGGTCTTCTAGAAGCCAGGCTGCGTTGCGTCGTGACCGCATTAGGCCGGGCACGTGTTGTACCTGACAGCGGGTGGTGGCATCATCCGCGTCTCCGGCCACGATCTCCAAATAACATGCCAGATTGCATATAAAGCAGTCTTCGCGACGTGTGCCATCCAGAGGTTTGAGGTACTGCGTTCGGTCCAATGGCAGTCGGTTACGGCAGATACGCTGGCTGAATTGGACATCCATATTGCTGACCAGGATCGCCAAATAACCGGGCATATGAGAACCATAAGGGTGAGGAGATTCGCAGCGAGCCAACCAGCTGTGGAAAGAGTCCCTATTTCAGGATATACGGACAATGTATGAAATCAAGCCTCGACGCAAGCCCGCACGAATGTTCATCTCGACAAGAACTCCACAAGGAAGTTGCAGCTCTTGCGATGTATCTGGGGAATTGGACTCTTCATACCGTCTAGAAATCTCCATATCTGAGATTGCAGTGTGCCATTCGATTTCGCGCAGGGTATAATCGGAGCTCAATAGCTGGGTCCACAATCGTCCAGTTACAACATGGTATGCGATAAATATCGAGAATGGAAGTGTGAAGCCGGGTTTGTGGCAAGTCATCCAGACCATGCCATAAAAGGTGTTGTAGGGGGGGAAATCGTTTCTACCAGGCGCAATCTCGATGGAGAGTTCTTGGCGATCTTGATCCCATAGTCCCTGAGGTCGTGCGCTTGAAATCGAGTATTCTGATTGATCGAACTCAAAATGGAAGCAGTACATTGCACAGCTCATGAGCTTCCTTGGGATTCGTGGCGGATCTTCGAAATAGAGTGTCTCGAGCTTCAGCTTTGACATCTTTGAATGTTCGAATATGTTTGGTGCAACTCTAGCGTAGAAATTGGCTTCGAGTCTTCGGACAAACAAACCAATCGATCTCCCATATTGATCTGCATCTAGTAGAAGCAAGCGAATAGGGTCGCTGCCCTTATGTCCTGGCACACGCCAGTTGCGAAGTTGCTCCGGACTGACGATTTCCAGAGATAATGGCGCATCAATCTTAAGACCCATATTCGACATAGCAAACGTGCTGCGGCCTCGATTAACGCTCTGCGATTGTTCGAACACATCTGGCGACTTTGCTAGTAATCCGCAGTAGCTAGAAGTCAACCCCCAGGTCGCTCTCCAGGCAAAGATCGAGTCGTCAGGAGTAGTTCTGATGATTTCTTCTTGCAATCGATTGAACGCATTTTCACCCTCGCCATACAACATCGGAATTTGAACTCCGAATAAGCCCATCAAACTATACGCGCGGTCTTCGATTCGAGTCGTCTTGCGAGTAGCCGCCCATGACATCTTTTGAGCGACAGACGACCGGCTCAAATCCCCGGTCCTCAATACGTATTCTGAGACCCCGGTAGCTCTTTCTAACCCATTATACATCCTCCAGGCTTCGATGCAAGTGAAATTTCCATCGTAGAATGCGAGGTTTCTTGGTGCGATAAGCTCCTGTAAGGTCCAACCTCTAGTGATCCATTTGCAGGGTTGCAATATCGTGGCAAGGTCAATCATCTCCCCCCAACTTTTATAATGCGTGATGTCAACACCCTCCAGGTGTACGGCACAAAAGCTTGAATGCTGGTACCATCGGTACATAGAATTGATTGCCTCCTGCAGCTCCGCGCTGCTGCTCTTATCAATACAACAAGTGTCTATCCAGAAATAGTCCATTCCCTTCTCCCTTGCGATGTTAGCCGTTTCCTGGATTTTGCTGTAACCAGTACGACTCTCGATCGCCCTACTGTCCAATAGAATGTCCAATCCAACCGACATCTTCATCGCGGCTACGAAGATTATGTCTTCCTCTAGTTCGGCTGGCAAAGCGTTGTATTGTTGCAGGAAGCGCATTTCCTGGTGGCTGACCTCTTCGTCTCCCCAAGTGTGGGAAAGTATTACGTATCGCGGGATTTGATCATCGTGGAAGACTTCGAACTCAAGAGTTCTAGCGTGTAGGAGGCGCATGATCCCTTGAACTCAAAGACCAATCATGCCTTGGAAGAGAGGAACGTCGGCTTCTGCCCACCAACACCTCGTAGGTTGCGGTTGCTGAGAGCTGTTGAACGTGTGGAGGACCTGTGCGGGGCCACAGATTGGATCGCGCAAGCTGCTGCGTATTGTAATACAGCAGCAGGCTGTTGACGGATGCCGCGGGTATCGCTGTAAGCAGGAAGTTTTCAGCTAGTTCCAAGGGAAGTATCTGTATCCACTCGTTATCTCCTTCGACATGAGTAGGGGCAAGGCAGAAATGGCACAGCTGCGTTAACCGCCCGAGGTGCAGATGACAGTGGCTGTGTGCATCGGCTCAACCCCCCGCCCACTGCAACTGCCCTTATATTCTGCCCGCAATGCCAGCCTTCCCAGTACGATACACTGCAAAATGATGCTTACAATCCAGATTTTTCGAATACATCAAATGGCGATGGCGAACCCGATGCCGAAAGCATGGCGAAGAGGCCCTCGGGGCGATGCCACGAGTCTCGATCGCAGCGAGGGACGTGTCTTTGACGAATGTGGCTGCGGGTTGTAAACATGTGACCACAGTTAGGAAAACAAAGATTCACTGTCTACTGCTAACGGAAGCGTCGTTGAAGAGTATTGCAACCACTTTGATGAACAAAAGGATCCATGGATGCGACTCCTTTGTAATAGATCCTGCGCCAAGGAACTAACCCCACTTGGGCCGAGCCACAGGGATGGACGCGCAGCGATCCATGGATGCCAAACATCGCCTTTCCCAATAAACACTGCGTACCCGGTACATAGTCGTGGGCCAACGCCTCTGTGAGAACCTATCTTCTGATCAACTGAATCTTCTTACGATCAATATGGGCGACTCAGAAGCCCTGGAGCCATACCGCCTTACGGGTCCCAAGAGAGACATATTGGACCAATGCTTCACAGACGCCCCCGCACCAAATGAGATGTTACAGACACATCAAAAACGACCCATGCCGTCCAAGCTGCGTGGCAAACTTGATGAGATGTTAATCCCATCAGAAGAAATGAAAGAAGCCACATACCGGAGCATCAGTCGCGCGTGGGAGGAGTACGCAGCCGGCGGCGAGAACTCTAGCGCTTTCATGCGATCACCGACTGGAGCGCCTTACAAGATAGTTTCCATCGAAGGCAAAGGCCGTGGTGTTGTTGCAACCCGCGACATCAAAGCTGGCGAGATCGTTCTGCAGGAGTCACCCGTCCTGATTATGCCACACCCCGATTTTGTGCCGCTGATCTTCCTCCTCTTACCCAAGGAGGCCCTGGAAGCTATCTTGCTCTTGCATAACGCGCGACCTAACGAAATGCGGTTCACGAAGGAGAGAGGAGACAACGCCCACAACCGGCTCCTAGATACACTCATGGGTTGCGTAAACTCTAATTCATTCAAAGGCGAGGCTTCATTTGGTCCAATTGGAATGGTTCTTTTGACTGGATCCATGTTCAATCACGAAAGCAACTCGAACGTTAGGAGGCATTGGGATCAGCAGCTGGAGCAGATGGTGTTCAAAAGCGTTCGAGATGTGAAGGAGGGCGAGGAGTTCACGGTCCATTACTCCGACTCTGCAGAGGATCTGAAGAAGTACGGTATCTGAAACACATAGCGACGGTTACAACATCGAGGAGACCGCATCTGCTTACATGGTCACAAAATACCAATGTTGACATGTGGCATGCATCACGTTCTGGTAGTTTAAGAGCTGCACTGCCGAGCGTTGAGAAAGGAATTAGGGTATCTTTAATTAGTGGTATCTAGAAACTCGAGATGCTAGTGCTGCTACTCGTATTTTTCGGCTTGTGTGGTTCAAACTGGTCCATCTCCATTTGCACAAGTGATTGCTCATCATGATCGGCATGCCGTATTTCGAAGGTCTTGGTGTATGTGATGGCGTTTGGGTCTCGCGCGCCATTCGAGACGGCCGATCGTCCTGGACCACTGGCCAGCGCACTGCCGCCCTTCTTCATGCCATGACTTTGGCTGCCGTATGCGTAGTAAGGTCGTTCGGTGGCTTTGGTTGTGCCGAGGATCTTGGGGAACAAGTGTACGAGTATGACGCGTAGCGCAGGCAGGCAGGCGCAGATAATGCCGACATTGATCTCGATGTTAGACCAATTTATAACATCCGCTTGATCCCATGTTGGATTGGATGAGGCGGCGAAGTTAACGAGAGATGATAGACGAAGGATTGAGATGATGGTCACACTGAGGTTTGAGTCAGTAATTATCGTCTGTAGACCGTTGGAAGCGGTACTTACAATGTACCGACGCAGAACATAACAGCGACGCTAAGCTTCTTGCGCCAGGAGAGCTGCAGGTGGAACACCTCATACAAGGGCAAAGCGAGCATCCAGATGTCCAAGACAATGCTGATGATAGCATTTGTCCACGCTAACCCATTGATGTCGATACATTGGCCGGATCCTTCGCCATCCCATTTGGTCCAGTAAAAGGAGATCGGTCGGCATTGGAAGATGGCCACCAACGTGAACGCAAGACCGTTGAGGCAGTTGAAGGCAATGGTTGCCCATAGTAGTCGCCTGATGCTGGGTTTCGGAAATATTCGCAGGAAGAAGAATAAGAGCGTAAGCTTCAGAAGCGCGACCTGAATGAAATAGAGGACTTCCAGAGCGTAAAGATATCTGACGAAGTCGGTGATCTGTTGGAAGCTGACAGTCCATACATCTCGTCCTAGACCGTTTGGAACAATAGCTCTATCGATGATGACCACGGATGGAACACCAGCTATTAGTGCGGCCAAAACACTGTAGTCGTCGTAGCCAAGTTCACCGACGGAGAAAACAGCTTTGTATATGATCCTGGAAAGCGCACAAACGGCGGTGACGATCGAAAGAATCAAGTTGGATACACGAATTGAATCGCCGGAGTAACGGATCGGAGCGTGACAACTGGTTGTGGTGACGTTTTTGGTTGCTGAGAATCGTAATCAGCAACAGTAAGCATGTTGACATAGCCTGGAGCACTCACTCAAACTCTGTCTCAGTGTACATGACTTCATTACACATGCCTCTACCTCGCCTTGCAGTTTGGCATCTGCACATACGGAGGCCTGGTCTGTATGCTGTACTGGCGATTGGGCAACTGCAGTGGCAAGACACACTTGCTGGAAAACAGTCAATAAATGCTGGGGATATTACTCCGTTTGAACATACCGCGCATTGAGGAAGTTGCTCAATCACTGCCAGTAGAGCCGATTCCTGAGCGACTACCAGCTGTACCCATGCCAGCAATGGGAAAAGCAAATGAAGGGGCCTCATCCTTCTTCGTACTCGCACACGACCTTCGTGTACGATCGAACGGCCAGGAAGCGTGAGGCAGAATGGAAAAGACTGCGATGGACCAGATCAGACCCTTACTATGAGCTCCCTGGGAAGTCGGAGGATATCAAGAGCTGTCAAGAATGCCAGGCCCAGTCGCTTAGTTTCCGGGGCCTGCTCTATATGAGACCATAAGGGAAGGGAATAACTGCAGGTACATTTAACCATTGGGCATGGGGGACGGCAAGTGCAGATTGAGGTATACAGTGGGGCTGGACCGCCTCTAGTGCCGCTCTTCGAGGGTCATGCATCTTCCGTACCAGAGGTGTATGTCTCGCCGTAGAGATGATCCCTGGCATATGCACGGAAGGACTTGCACTAGATTCCATGATTATTGAATACAACCAATGGGTCGGCTGAAACCCAGGGCGAATGGAGGTGTTGCCCCAGACCAGACGAAGTGGGCCCTTGCTGACGCTTCGCAGGGCAAACGCTACCGACGACGGAGGTTATACTTTTCAGGAACAGTGGTTTGTCGACGCTAAGTGGACTTCGCCTAATATGCAGGTCGCTCATGAGGTCCAGGAAAGGAGACACGTCCTTCGTATGCACCCTGGGTACCTAGGTACCAGCAACCTTATCTATCTGCCTGATTAGCACAGAACATACGAAACTCATGTGAGAGTCCTCCGATCATTGCCATTCAATTGCATACCCTGCCATAGCGTGTTTGCTTCCGTGTGTATTGAAGCCTTCGCGACTCCGGAAGGTTGACCAAAGATGGTGGTTCGTTCCGCAACGCCACAGACGAGCGATTTTGCGCACAGGTAAACAGCTTGGCGTACGCACGCCACTAGCACGCGTGCATGCCGTTTGCTCCACCTCGCGTCCGCTCAACCGCCGCCGAGCTTCGACCGCTACCGCTGCACTCTTCGCGGCTCAGAAAAATCACATGGGGGGCCCATTTGCTTTTCGAAGATCATGTTCACTGACTCTCACAACGTCGACGATCGACTTGTGGAGACCGATGCGGTATTCGCGATACGCGAGGCAGGAATACAGCCTTTCCATGTGTTTCACGACATTCGTCTTACTACTCATCATCAGAGCTGCATACGAACGTGCCGCTTTTGTTCACATGTCATTTGGACGCTGGTCTGAGTGTCCCTGACGGGAGAGACTGCGGAGTGCAGGAATCTGACGGCCTGGAAACGGCCATTTCTTCGGCTAACGTTCCAAACCACAGTGTCGCAGCAAGGTGTGGCACGTATTCTTTAGCATGCCCAAGGTCTGTGGTAGCCTTGAAGACCCAGCCGTTTTGTTGAGCATCAGCAACTTCCTGGTACGGTCCCAATCTCGCCGTCTCTGAGCTAAGAAGCGAAGCCCTCAATCATGTCGAGCATCCGGAAAAATCGAAATGATCTAGGAGCTATACCCCCGAAATCTTTCAGCCGCGTCCGAAGCATCATGTCTCTTGCGGTCATTGATTGGTGTGAGAAATTCTGTGCACCAGCGTTACTCAACAGCATTGCCACGGGAAAAGTTCTCGAATTCGTCGACGTTCCATGACATGGCTGCAAAACGTATCCCGGCTGATACCTCAGCCCTACAAGGTATACCTGATGCACGCTCGAAACAGACCCTTGCGATTGCGTGAAACTCCGTCGCTATCGCGTCCAATGTCCCCTTTCTTCGTGAGAATCGTCACTATCCGAGTCGGTATTAGTGGGGCAATTCAGCGATGGCATGAGATTTGACTCGCAGCGTCTTCCTCGATTCAAGCAAAACATGCGTGCGCATCCCTCAGGATCACGATACTTCGCGAATGATGTGTGGCGCGCTTCAGGTTTCGCTGGTTCGTTGTCGGTCCGAAGTCGAAGTCCCCAGATCACGAGCGCGGAACCCTGCGGTTTTGCTTTTCTGTTCCAGCCATGATGGCGCAAATCTTCGGGATTGCGTATACTAGACGCAAGTATCCCAACTGCACATCCAAAGGTTTCTTCACGATCCAGCGCAGTGGCACCCTTACGATTGACTAACGCGTTAGCAGATGGCATCTTCTGTGCACGTGTCGTCGTCCAGTTACGCGAGGTCGACGATCTCCACGTAGCAAAGACCAGCGAAACCATCGAGTGCTGCAAATTCAGGAGAACAATCCTTACAGATCCCACCCTCTATGACACTCAGGCAACCTACTATCGAGAAGGTCATACAAGCTGAGTCCCCACTCTGCTCAGCCGCAAGTCAGCTCCAGCTGTCACTTTCGGGCCGCGCCCTCTGCAACGAGCCAACGTTTCGGTAACCAAACTTTGTATCTCCAGAGCCACGCGTGACGACATGCGGCCAAGGCAGGCATCGGCAATTGCCTTTACGCAAACACAGGTAACTCACTCGCGTGGTCTTCGTTTACCACCCTCGGATCTACGCGGGTCGATCTCTCGGTTGCCTGTACCAAACGGTCAGTCACCGGCATCACGCATCGGCATCTGCCAGGGGCCGACGATCACAACGTGGGCTTGACGAAAACGACCACTACTCTCGGGTGACTAGCCAAAGCCGTTTCTATATGCAAGGGCATTATCGACCACATTGCAAGGAGCTGCCATTGGTACTTCCTAATTGAGAGGCATCCAATTGATTTTTCAACCCCTTTGGTCTTGCAGCCCTCATAGGCCACCCTTTTTCGAGACTCCATGTCTATATGTGACCGCATTTAGGGATCAAAACTTCAACATTCAGCTGCCTCTACACCACATATGTACTTACTCCTACCACCGGCAAAAAGAGACTCTCTATCAACACGAGTCCAAGACGATACCAACCTCTTCAGTAACGTTGGCCGTCTCGCGTCGACTCTGAGTTCCCACTTGTCCTAGTGGTGACTATCTTCATGTGTTTGGCGAGCAAAATCGCAAGCAGCCGTTCTTCATGATCGACACAGCTCGAGCTTCGCCGGTAGTTTCGAGCGTATACCGAAGTCATGTGCCGAAAGCCCATGCTCTCATGTGGGTGATGCACTTCACGATGACGTAGAAACCTGCATCGTACTTTTCTATTTTCCTCTCATCAAACTTTCTCTCGGATCAAAAGAAAGCATCAACATACCGATGCTGTCGTAAATTGGCATTGTCTCCCTTCCGTGAAGATGGCATATCTCAGAAGTGAATGTAAGTAATCGATGGCACATGAGCCTCATGACACTTCACTACGAGCCGCATCTCCGGTCACGCATCTATCACTGCATATCCGAAAAGCTAATTTGACAAAACTGCTACGAACCGACACATGCAGGTTGCCGCTGGAGCTCTCCAGGCTGTCACATGGGATCTCCACTTTGACGCATGTGCCTCGTGGCCATATCGCAACGTGATCACGACGATCAAGCGCCCTGACTCACTTTAGTTACCTCTTCGCGTTGTGGTAGAGTTTTTAATACGAGTTTGATCCGCTACTGCACCGCATTCCAGAGCACGGTGGACCCGTCGTCGCAACATGACGTTTGGTCTTTGTCAATTCGAAATACGCATATCGATCAGTCAAATCCTGACGACTAGGCCGGCCGGTATGCTTTACCACAGTCTGATAACCAATTATGTCTCGGTCAACGCTTCCCAAAACCGTATATAAGACACCATATCGCTCGATCCTTCCTTGCAAAACTCAAAATCCATTTTTCATTACCAAAACGCGAAGTATCGTTTACCTGGGCGACAATTTTTCAAAACCATTTACCGCAATGACGATGGGGCTAAGAAGGATGTCAAATGTACAAGCCCGCGCCTGACTTTACGATATTCTTATCACTAGAGTCATGTTCTGTAAAAGCAAAACGCGTGCCGAAGTCTGTCATGTCTCAATTCCTCTTTCGCAAAACTCAAAAGTGATTGTTCCTATGGGCATGTGCAAGACGCACCGCCGGGTCAATGAATATCGCGACATCAGAGTATGTGTATGCCTGACGTCTCCAAAGAATATTGCCATCTTCGATGAGTAAGACTCCGCGTGTTTGGAGATATATAAAGCTGTCGTTTTCGTTTTCTACAACCGAACTCTTCTCCCCTTACACACTCCTGAGTTCTGATTTCACCAAAAAAAAAGGATTGCCAACGATGAATGACCTTCGTCCCACGGCCACCAAAATACTATAATCCCTCTTGCATGAACTCATCGATTTAAACACTGCAGCATTCCACGCCTTTGCAATACCAGAACGTCGGCCGAAAGACATCTCTACCGTGCGATGAGGAATACTCACTGTCTAGGCATATACTATATGTGATCGAGAGTTGTCAAAAGACGTGCAGGGCTGTCTGATGTATATCTTCAGGGTGAGGTGAAATGACGTGAGGTGTTTGGAGTAATGAGCACAAGTGCATGGGTGGACCATGCGTCATTGATTAAGAAAAGTTCAAACATACGCGATGGTCGTTCTAATGAGGAGTGATGAAAATACGTGGTCTAGGGGTGGGAGCAGTATTAAAGCCATGCCTCAAGCTGTACAAGAAAAGAGAAAGAGGCGAACAATGTTATTTCTGTCTGGAAAAGTGACTCTGTCAAAGTCATTTGAAGCTTTCCCAAGTCCGCTCTTCAACATCGACGTCGACAGACAGATGATCATAACACAAAGACATCACATGCACGCAAGATGTCCAACTCTGATGCATAGAATATCATTGATTACGCTCAAGGCGACTCTCAAAAGGTATCATCTCCGTCATTCCCTAAAACCATACCCACTCATTGCACAGCCCGCTCACCAAGAGTCTAAGTATGAACTCGAACATAACGGAAATAAAAAAGGGACATGGACATAGCCTCCATGGGAGGTAAAACATGGAAGCGGAGATAAGGACTGCCTGCCTGCCTGCCTGCCTGCCTGCCTGCGAGGTAACGCCAAAGGGATTATACCTCCCATCATGTCATGCTCATGTTACCTGGCCAGCCCGCTATGGATGCAAAACCCCAAGTCTAACGCAAGGAAAACGCCGCCCAATGAAACT